TGCTGAACTAATGAGAGAGAGAGGAAAAACCTACCTCCCAGCTCTATTTCCGAGGTAATTATGCCTGATGATGATTTACCAGCCACTCCACTGTTCACACAGGCTTCATTTCATAGCAATCTCTCTCGAAAGGAAACTTAATTAGTCTCTGACCCCTGCTTGATGTTGAGCTTTGGTTTTGCTTTATTTTTTTCTCCTTTGGTAGCACAAAATAACTGGCTGGCTCTTCCTTTTCTGAGTGTGGTTGATTCCTGGCGCACAAGCTGTTCTCTGTCAGAGGCGGCTGCATTTTGGGGCAGGTAGAGCGATGGGGAAAGTCCAGCAGGGCAGGAGGAGTGTGTGGTTTTGTGTGCGCTGGAGGTGTTTGCTTTAAAATAAGTAAACAAATGATGAATTCACACTTATTTACAAGCATTTGGCATCTTACAGCAGAGTCCAAGTGACTCATCAATAACATATTTAATTGCGTCCTCTTAAAAACTATGTAACTCTGAAGATGTCCCAAGCACTTAGAAACTACCTTCTTTTTAAGCCCCTTGGGGGCTAAATTTTCCACTAAAGTCAACTGAAAAAAAAAAAAAAAAAAAGTAGGTTTATTGCTGTCTGGACCCTCAAGCCTCGATGCATCAGAGACCGCAGCAGGTCAGGGTGTGGGCAGGTCTGTGGCCCACGGAGAACTAATGGCACGGCATCTCCGGCAGCAGTTCCACCCCGCTGGCTCCCCTCCGTCAGCACCCCAGCCCCAGCCCAGGCATCTCACTCCTGCCTGTAGAGACATGCTCTCCAGCCGGGGCTGGGTGAGCACAAGGGGCAGGAGGTGTGGTGCCTGGGCTTCTGCGCCGGAGGGGGTTACCGGCAAGGACCAGGTTTCTGCCATTGCACGGCTGAGTTTGTTTAGTTGTGCTTGAGTGGCTTGGAGCCCTTCAGCCAAGGCGTGTGGAGGCTGCAGAGCCCGTGAATAATAAAAGAAATGTGTCCCTTGTCTCTTCCTCCTTACACCAGGGGATGAGAATGCAAAGCCCTGCGCAGGGACACTGAAGCGAAGTGTGGTAGCAAGGGGTGAGGTGAAGCCCCTGTAAGCCCCACCGCTGCACTGAGACACCTCCAAGAGCAGGGTGTAGAAACAAGTGATGTTCACAGGGGACATCCCTTGGTCACAGTGCCATGACTCCACCATGACAACTGGCACAAAAGGCAAGGCAATCAAAAGGGGAGCCACTACTGCATGGGGCAATGCCAAACCAATTCTTATCCATTGGCTTTTTTTGGTTACAGATGGAGTAGGACTAGGCTAAGCAGAGGGCATTCATCTGTAGGGCTACTGAAATCCTGTCCCAATCTATAGAAGGAGGGTGTGGAGGCTTCAGAAGATCAGACAGCCCAATGTGTGTAAGGGACTGAATCCTGCCTGAATCCAGGCACTGCTGCAAGCAGGGCTTCCTTTGAAAGCCTGCATGGGGTTGATCACCGAAAATACAAGGGCAGAAGCCAGCCTCTGCAGAAAGGAGTTTCCATTTTGGCTGCCACAGTCGTGCTGCAGGTCTTGCAGAGCCCCTGTGAGTAGAGGAAGGGAGGAGAGGTCAAGGAAGCTCTAAGGGCATGGAAATAAGAAGTCTGTGGGCAGTCTGTGGAGGGGAGGCAGGGCTACCACAGCTCCTGGGCTCTGACAGGCTCAGCTGGACCCCCATGAGTGGCAGGAGTGTTTTGGGGGTGTGAGGGGAGAGGAGAGGGGAGAAATTTCAGTCTGGGTTGTGACCAGGGTGTAAGAAAGAACAAGGAGGATGTGCTTCAGGAGGGGTGTAGGTTTTTGTGGTAAAATGGGAGCGACAGACACCTTTGCAAAGCTGCTTGCAGCATGGAGCAAAGTCTGTGGAACTGATAATTGAATACCTAGGACCTAGATGGGTCACAGCTAAACTGCAAGGTGCCCGGGATGTGCTGAGGAACACCAGGTCCATGCAAGCTCAAGGCTGAAATCCCAGGACCTGGCCGCCTTCTTGTACGGAGGTTTTGGATAACGGTTGCAGCTGAAGCTCCAGTTTCCTCAGGAGTTTCCCTGAAGCCCCAGAAAACTGTATTTGGGTTGTAAAACTAATCTTAACCATCCCGTGCAGACGGCTCCTCTATCTCCAAACTGATTTGTGTCCTCAGGCACAAGCTGCTGGCGGCTGTCTCTCTGGGGGCTGGGAGGAGGACTGCCTACCAGTGTCACACCCCATGGGTGGTTGTGAGTCATACCGGCATGCAGCTTGCCTTGGGCAAGCCGGCCAAGGTTTGCCTCATGCCTGTGTAGTCATGCACCTGGGCCAAGTGCTGTACAAGTTGTTCTTGCTTAACGCAGCTTACCCCTGGGGCGTGAGGAGCAGGCAGCAGGTGGAAAGCCCCACATCTCCTGTGGCTTCTCCTCTGGGGCGTCTTGGAGGGTTGGCTCTCCAGCTGCCCAGATGTTGTCTCAGCCTTGGAGCACCTCCCCAGTCTCTCATCCACAGTGCTGATACTAGACCCTCTATGACAGAGAAGGCGCCAGACAAGGGGTTGCCACATGTGGCACAGGGGAACAAAGTGGCCACCAAGAAACAGACTCCCTCAGTGTCGACCACTTGGAGGCAGAGGGAGAATTCATACTAATCTGGCAACATCATGGCACTTGTTCATTTATTCGTCTATAGTAAAGGCTCTTCCTTCCTTTTTTCCTCTTCCTGATCTCTCTGCTTCCTCTCACTCTGAAATCCCATTGGACTTAGGTACTGGAGACCCTTAAGTTGCCCAGAAGTTTGCCACTCTCCAGTTGATATCTGTGTGGTGGTGACCATGTCCAGCTTTCGTCCCAGCTACATTATCCTTGGAGATGAGCTTGCCCCAGGAGGAGAGGCTTGCTTTCTCTGGCTGGCATGCCTGCAATAATACCTGCCCAAGGAGAGGGAAAAGCAAGCTAGGTCCTGCCTGCTGAGGAGGAGAAGAAAGCCAGCTTGTGGGGAGGCAAGCACATGGGCTGGGTGGACAACCCACCTACAAGGTGTAAGTGCTGTCGTTACACTGCAGGGGGGTCTGTAGGAGAGAAAAGGAAGGAGAAAGAGGTTCCTGCGATGTTAAGGAAAGGATTGTGACTTTGTTAATCTCGCTTGGTGCGATCTGTCATGCTAGCCCCATGGCACACTCAACCCTGCTATCTACATGGCAGCTGGAGCAGACCTGCTTCTCCATGTAGCAGTCAGAGTTCACGTGCCTGCATTTCAGCAGGGAAGATTTCCTTGCTTTTTGAACTGCCCTCTGACTTGTGATGCCTTTTAGCTGGCAATAACTAAAGGCTTTTTGAAAATCTCTGGAGTTTGCAGCATGAAGATCCATGAGCCAGGCAGTGGTCTCCACAGCTTTCAGATGAGTAGAGGACCAGTGTCAGTCTCAGGTTTGGCAGACTCTGCAGTGTTGTACTGCAGACCACATGTAGCCAAACATTGCCCAGACCCAGATCTGGCCTTATGTGGCCCCTGGGCATGCTGGTTGGTCAACAAGTTTGGTAGGGACAGAGCTTCAGGTTGACCTCATGAGCCTGCCATTTTCGAGTACAGAGCCGTACAGCTTCAGGTGTATTGGGCTGGCCTCCAACAACCCGGATGAGAAAAAAAATGGCTTCTTGCCTTGGAAATAATGGCCATCCCGACTCACACTCTCATGCAAAAATACTTATGTGCTCTGCTGCTGGTATAATGGTGAGAGCACTGGAGATCTCTCCATGCCTAACCCTCAAACCACTGCAGAAATGGTGGCAGGAAATTCCAGTTTTCCCTCTGTCACTGTTGGAAGTCCTGCCTACCCTAAAAGGGCAGCTGCTGAGGAAGCTGAAGGTGGCATTGTTAGAGAGGTCCCACAATGCTCCGTTCCCCAAGAAACTCCCCTTCACTGACAGCTGTGTCTGCTCTTATTTTCCAACAGCTTCTTTGAAGAAACCCAGAGTCAGTAACCCTAGCAAGAGAAGGCACTAGTGCAGGTACTCTAGCAGAAGAGGGGTGTTCAAGCTGCTTTTCCTGTTGTCTGCTCAAGTTGGGCCCACTTCAGCCTTTCTTTCACAGCTTATATTTTCTTAACCACCCAGCAAATGCAGCTGTCTTGGGGTTGGGTTTTTTTCTCCCTCGCCCTCCCCCTGCACACACGCGCTCTGTCCCTTTGAAAGAAGGACTTAGTTGGCGCTGGCATCTGGGCTTGTTTCTCCAAGAGGTCTCACACCTCTGACTAGTGCCTTTATGCCGCTCTCTCTGGAAGGGGATGAATTCAATGCGGGGCGCCTGGCCCCAGCCTGCAGGATATAGCACTCTCAGGAATTTGGTGGGAACGCTACTTGGCTCGGCTCCCATGAGCCAGCTGCAGCCTGAGCAGTTCCCTCCCTCCCTCCCTCACACCTGACTGGGAACAGGGGGCCCAGCTCCAGTCCTGGCATGGGGGGAGATGGGGCTACCCTTAGAAAGGTGCTGCCAAGCCATCAGCCGTAGGTATGAACGTGGGATACAGCTAAAACGCTGTGGTTACCGGTTCAGTTCCATGGCAGTGCTGCCCAAGAGGAAAGGTCCAGTAGGGTGGATAGCATACTCTGGGGTAAAGCTGGCTCCTTTGGAAGATGACCAAGATGAGGGCACTAAACTTGTCCCCTGTCTGTCAGGGTGTAGCTGGTGTTTCTAGCCAGGTGGAAATGCAACACTTTGAGCTGAGGTTTGCATGGGTACCGTTGTGATGATGAAAACCCTACCCAAAAGGGAGCCAAAAACACTGACTGCCCCCAGATTGGTCTCAATCTTCTGTAGCTCAAGTATCAGGGACAGTTTGAGTTACCAGGCTCAGACCTGGGGAAGTTTCTCCTCTGAAACTACTATGAAGCAAGGGGTGGGAGGTGTACAGACAGGCTGGCAGGTTCTGCCTATCCTTCTCCTCAGGGATAATTTCTCTTTCTGAGTGAAGCCTATTGTTCTGGTCTAATTGAAGACTGTCTTTCATTCTTCCCAGGTTGCATGAAGAATTAAAGATGGCAAAAAGTGACGATGGCATACACATCTTGCAGGGTCTATTAGTCTTTGGGAATGTGGTCATTGGGGTAAGTGAAGTGGGACAAGTATGGGTGGAGGCTTCCTTCCAGTATCACACTTCTTAAAACAGCAGTTCACAGCCATGAAATCCCTCTTCACATGTGAAGTCCACATATAAATAGACCAGTAAAGCATGAGAGGAGGAGTAAAGGAGAGCTGTGCTAGCTGATCAGTTGGGTGGGGAGGGGACAGCAAGGGACAGCAGGGGCAGATCCACAAGACCAACATGAGTTCTAGGGGAATTTTGACCAACATCTTTCCAGCCACCTCCCTCCATATAGTGATGGGAAAGGTTCTGTTAATTCTTTCTTAACCTCCTCAAGTCCTAGGCCTGACCTCTCAGGTCTAGGCTGGGTGAGTTTTGCCTGCCATTCTTCTGTGAAGGCACAATACAAGAGGTGGTAGAGTTGGACAGAGGAGGAGTTGAGTAGCTCCTGTTTGGCAGGAAGCTGAATGAAAGGAAAGTGGTCTCCATCTTTTTCTGTTTCTGCTATTTCTTTGAGGAAGCTTGATCTAATGGATTTCCCAAACTTGCGCTTCTCAGATGTGCGGCATTGCCCTGACAGCAGAGTGCATCTTCTTTGTGTCCGATCCCCATGGTCTCTACCCTCTGCTGGAAGCCACAGAAAACGATGACATCTATGCTGCCGCTTGGATTGGCATCTTTGTTGGCTTTGCACTCTTTGCTCTGTCTATCCTTGGCATCATTGGAGTCCTTAAGTCCAACAGGACCTTGCTGCTGGTGGTAAGTATAGCAAAGTTTGCCCACCCATTGCTGCCAAACTGAAAAATATGCCACCTTAGTTTCCCTGCTCACCTTGATAATCACCCACTGAGCAAAGACAGCTTTTATTAGTGATGAGGAGCCAAAGGTTCTTCTTGACCATGGCTGTGGTCTCCCACAAGGTGAGGCCTGTGAGGACACATGCATGAGAATCTCCTTAACCAGGATGAGGGAATTAATCGTGATAGCAACAGTGGAGGTTTAAGCTGACTGACTGGACTCTGACCTTGCCCTGAAGCAATGCAGAAGCATTTGTGCAATCAGATGCAGCTGGGATGTGGTTTAGATCCTTGTTTCTCCCCACCCCTTACTGCCTTTCAGCTGTCATGTACAATTCAGTTTAGGACCTGATAAGTAACGACTTCTGTACAAGGCATTAGTATGTATTAGTATACCAAATATGGGTGCAATTGAGAACATTAGACATCAGCAGGCAGGCAGAAATTACAGGGGTGGAGACAGAGAGCTTTGGATAAGCCATGGACAATGTTAAGATGTAAACAAATCCCTGTATGATTTCTTACTTAATCCTTCACATTGACAGTGGTGAAACTTAACTGGTACTTCATTAAAGATGAGTTGAACTGAAAACTCTGGAATTGGCTGTCTCTTGGATTAATATGGGATGGCAGGTGCTGTTTTAAACAGCAGACACTTCAAGATCTGAACTCTTGTGCCAGGGAATTCACCAGCAAACAGCTGATGGAAGAGAATTCCCTTAACTCTGAATTTTGGTGTCTTGGCTGAAACCCAAGGCTGTGGTACAGGAGAGAGGAGAGGGTACAAGGGGCAGAAGCTGGGGTAAGAAGAAAACAAATGCCTTGAATCTGAGAACAACACTATAAAATGTGGGAGGAGAAATAGAGGCACAAGAACTGCAAAGGGAATATGGGAAAGGTTAAAGGGGTTGTGCTGAGAAGGGAAGAGAAGCAGTGAAATAGACTATGAGAGGTGATCCTCGGGATCTGTTTTCATGAAGGATCTTTGCTCACAACGTAGGAGTACTGAGCAAATCTGACGATGCAAAATCAAGAGGATCTCAATGACACCCTAAATTGCACCTTCTGTTTCCCCAAAGTACAAGCCCCTCTGCTAGGAGTAAACAGCTTCTTGCTGAAAAGCTTACAGCTGGCAAGTGGAAGTGGAAGGAGGAGACATGGAACAAGCATAAGTTGCCAATGAGATGCAACAAAGAAAACAGTAAATGTTATTCTAGGACGTATCAGGCAAAGTATTTTCCATAGAGGCAGGGTGGTATTAATGCCATGAGGTTCTGAAGAAATCTTGTCTGTGAGATGGAGAACAATTCTGGTCATACACCTTCAAGAAAGCAGACTGCAAACTGAAACAAGCACAGGGAAGGGCTACATGAGGATTCAGGGGAATGGAGAGGACTGAGAAGACGAGGACAGCGTGGCCTCTTTTGCCTTGAGCAGGGTTTCGGGGCTTAATCTCGAAAAATACAGAACTGGAAGAAACTGCTTAGTTGTTTCTCCAAGAGCTAACTCTCCTGTCTTTCTCCCACAGTATATTATTCTGATGCTGATCACTTACGCATTTGAAATGGCTTCTTGCATCACGGCAGCAACTCACCGAGACTTCGTGAGTATTGCTTTCCTCATGTATTCTTGTAACCACGCTGGGGAAGGTTGCAGTCCTAGGGCACGTGGCTGTGCTCTTCAGTGTAAAAGGACTACTGCTGAGTTAGAATAAGACCCCACAAGGAAAGTCTCCAACGTCATTATTCCAATCAAGGAAATAACTTTCTTCTTTTTAACATAGTTTTGTTATTTTTAACATTTTAAAATGTTTACAATCTTGCAGTTAAGGAAATAATAGCGTGGGTTAGCTGAATCATCAACACAGTGTTTAGTCTTTCACCTACAGACTGATTAATCTATCATACACGCAGAAGACAAATCTTCAGCATTGCCCCAGGCAGTGTTACTAGTGAGGGAAAGATTACGTGGGTTATTGGAGATATTGGCAGGGGGGGAAATGACTTGTGGTGGTTTAGTTCCAAGCAACATATCAAATGTAACCTACAGCTTCTGCACATCTCCTGTGATCTGACATCTGGTAGGGCCTGCTTAAGAGCCGTGCTCAAGCTCTACTTCTCTGTTGCTCCTGCCCCTCAAATCCTGCTCTTTAGTCTCTTGTGCGTAAAACTAGGGGAGATGCAGCATTCCTGTTCTCTAGCAGGACACTGAAACAAGCAAACAAACCCACCCCAAATAACCCTATATTTGCCTTACATGGCCACTTATTTACACAGTTACTGCATTCTTCTCTGTTTTTTTTCCTGTAGCTCACTCCAAATCTCTTCCTGAAGCAAATGCTGGAGAGGTATAACAAGTCGGAGACAGTAAATAACAACGACAAATGGATGACTGAAGGGGTCACAAAGACATGGGATAAACTCATGGTTCAGGTAATAATAACACTGAAAACTCGCACTAATTACTAAATGCTCTGCAGCCCTGGAATTTCAAGTCCTCCTTGGGGCCACTTGGTAATAAAGAGGATGGCATCTGCCTTGAACCTTAAAGTCCTGCCACACTCCCCATTTTGCTTGTTTATCAGATGGCAGACTGTCAAAGGCAGGCACTTCAAAAACCTCTCCCATAAATCTGCGGTTAATGCCTAACCAGCCATGTGCAGGGCTGCGACCTGGGCCTGTAAAGACCATTCCCTTCTCTCTCCCCACAGAACCAGTGCTGCGGGGTGCGGGGCCCCTCCGACTGGCAGGAGTACACGTCCTCCTTCCGCATCACACACAGCGACGCTGACTTCCCTTGGCCACGCAATTGCTGTGTCATGGATGCCCGAGGGTCTCCCGTCAACCTTGATGGCTGCAAGCTTGGAGTTCCCGGCTACTATAACAGCAACGTAAGGTCTTCTCCGCTTTCTCCAGTTAACACATGTTGGTCAAAAGCGCCTTGCTGGGAGGGAAGGAAACAGTGAATAGCCTTCCTCCTCCACTGCAAGCTACAGGTGTTCAAAAGCTTTCTGGAGGAGAAGCAATGCCTGTAGGGTCCTGGCCATGTTGCTGAACACAAAATGGGTTGTAATAAAGGCTTTCCTGATGGATAGAGAACTGTTAAGAAAACTCTCCCAATGCCACCAGTGACAACTCCAACATGTAGATGGACAGTAGCTAAATCAAACTTAGCCCAAAGATGAGTGCATACAATATGAGTGAGCAAGTCAGCAGTTCTCCTCCTCAAGGTAGAACTCTTCAGTAGACCAGCTTGTCCTGTTCAAACAGATTGCTGGGCCATGAGCATCAACTTCTGCACTAGCAAGCATTTCCAGAAGGCGTTCAAGCTTTTAAATTTGCCTGCAGCTTCTTGATTCTGGAGGTCAACTCTGTGTTGGCCGTGTTTGGTTATATATGTATACTTGGCAAGTGGATGGCGCAGGAAGTTGTCCTTGAAGTGTCTGAGGTGGGTCTACTTCGTATTTGGAGCTAGAAACAGGTAAGCTATCTGCAAGCTGTCAATAAGCTGTGTAGCTCTGGCTTGTCTTCTTGAGACCCTGTGAGCTACCCAAATTGCAATAGGAGAGGAGCATGCCACTTCAGTCTCTCTCAGAAGTGGATAAGCTTGTTGTCTTGTGGTGCAAGCTCAAAGCTGGTGTTGATTCATTCACGGTTGTCTTACAGGGTTGTTACGATGCTATTTCTGGGCCAATGAACACACATGCCTGGGGTGTTGCCTGGTTTGGTTTTGCCATCCTCTGCTGGACTGTGAGTACTTAATATTTGCCTTTATTTCCTTTCTGTTTTCTTGCTATTCCACACCCAGTTGGGTGGAGATGGATGACAGGACTGATGCATTTAAAATGTAGGTAGATTATAGTTATTCATTCGTCGCCAATCTGCCTGTAGCCTGTTCCACTAACAGGGCTACATTTACAAGTTCCCCTCCATTCTGGCTTCCACAGGCGAGGAGCTAGCTGGCCTTCCAGCCTGCTGTGGCCTGCTGCCATCTCAGCAATACAACACAGCAAACACAGCTTGCAGATACTTGTTTGTGAAGGGTATTGGATCATCTAAACAGTAATCATGACAGATAATTCAGTTTCTAGTTCGAAGACTTTGTATGAGCGTTTTAAGTACTCAGGGTTCACCAGCTTCATGACAGATAATCCCCAGCAAGCTGAGTGATCCAGTCAAATACTTGTGACTGCACATACCTTCTTTCTTCACTGTGAAGTTTCTGTGCAGATGAAAAGCTTTAAGCTTCCTCTGCCTGAAGGGACTTTGCTTATCAAGAATTTCTGTTGCTCTCTCCTACCAGTAGGACTAAATGGGGCTGGGGGAGAGGTGGGAAGAAGGAAATGGGGAGCAGAGAAACTTAATAGTCTTGTCGTTTCAGTTCTGCGTCCTCCTTGGTACCATGTTCTACTGGAGCAGAATTGAATACTGAAGGCCTGGTGTCCTCAGCGCTGTCCTGAAGCACCGTGTGAAACTGGATTCATTCGTCTCCTGCTCCATTCTCCTTGTGCCATGGAGGATTTGAAATTTTCCCACTACCTCTCCCACATATACTTTTGCCCCTCCAAAAACTTGACACACACAGCTGATGACTCCAGGAAAGAATCTTCTTGTCCCTTCTTTGCCCCTTGTTCTGCAACCTTAATGCCTCCTGGCTGAGGCACAATCCTTCTTTCACTGTGCAAGAAATCCTTGGAGCATAAGATAAGAAGTGATCTGATATGTTCTGTGATGACATCAGAAAGGAAAAGGTCCATATCCACTTGCTCCAGAAAAATCTCTCTCTAAAACTAGGTTGAATGTAAATCATAATGCTAAAGGCTCCAGCAAGGGCTATGTGAGCAAAACTGTAACCTCCTGTGACCAATAAAGACGAATGCTGCAAGGGAGAAGACTGCAGACCTCTCTAATATATCTTATCGTTCAACTTCTGTTCCTGGTCTCTGCCACCCCTTGCCTTAGAATAAGGCAGATTCTCTAAGAGTTTAAGTGTGTCAGCAGTAAAGACATGTCACAGGTAAAAAGTCTGTTGCTAGTGAAGCCCAATAAAAGGCTAGCTCACTCCTCAGCAATATGCTGCCTATATTCAAGCCTACCTCCTGGCACTGATGAAAGTACCGCATGTGCGCCTACCTTCAGAAGTGCCAGTCCAGAAAAAGCTCCTCTTGCTAACAAGCGACTCCTTCAAAAAACTGTTATGTACTTCACACAAGATTTCACACATCTACGGGCTAGAATTTGTGCAGAATACAAGGGGTCCTGCGCTGTAGTTGGCTTTGCAAAAATGGCTGTCCCACGCCCCTAGATTACTATCCCTCTCGCTTCAGCTACCTGCATGTATATGGTCACGTCCCCTGTGTACTCCTCTTCCACATCCCCGGATCACGTAGGACAAATGGCAAATAATGGCAATGAGTAACTCTTGTGAAAAAGGCAAGCAAGGAGCTAACTGAACCAAATCGAGTCCTTGCATCAGCAGTTACAGTTCTCACTCAGTTCAACAGAGGCTGTTTACTTTGGCCCAGACTGATCTGGTGTCTTTCCTAGTGAATACTTCAGCAGTTACATGCATCGTGTGAAATATGCTCCTATAGAGAGTGTTTTAAGGTGAAGCTTCTTCCAAAGGTGCACTGGTTCAGGTTCTGACACTTGCCAGCTGCCTTGATTCTTTGTTTTTGTACATTCACCAAAACACTAATTAAAAAGAAGTGGAAGTGAAATTTTTTTCTTGTTGAAGATTGTGTGTTTGGGAAGGGGAAATGATAAAGCTTTGTATCCAGGACATCTGGGGCAGTGCAAAGGCAGGCTTTCAAGTCCTGAAGATCTGAGTGCAAAAGTACCATGATGCACGGTGCTACAGAAACTCTGCAGCTGAATAGTCCCTCGCTAAGGTACTGGGGGAGAGAAAGAGGCAGCTATGAGGGTGAACAGCTTGAAGGAGAAACAGGTCCCTGAAACACAGAGGGGTTTTGCTGTATGAGTGTGCCTTCAAAAAGGAAAATCCCCATGGATCAGCCACTCCACAGGTTCAGTGGAATGGTGGCTGTCTTGGAGAACCTGAACTCTCAGCAATTTCCATAAGGAAATTAGTCTTCAGCACTTTTTTGTGAGACTCGAGGACATGGATAGCCCATGGGGACTGTGTATGGAAGTGGTCTGGGTTTGGTTTTTAATTATTTGTGTGTGTGTGTTTGCACATATGTTGCTGAAAGCTACAATAATACCTAAATCTAAGAAATACAAAGAGAATCAGTGTCTGCCTAAGTTAGGTAGCAATAGCAAAGACCAGATTCTCTGCTGTGAGCTGCAAATGCCTACCAAGTGCAACAGCAGAGGGGAGAGAAATGGGGGACAAGGGACAGTGTAGGCACGCTGCCTCTGTCCTGGCTTGGCCAAACCCCTCCAATAACTCCTCAGTCATAGCAGCCTCTGTGGATAGCTGCACACTGTGTAAAGGACTCTTGCTTGAGTTATTTCTGGAAGTCAAGTAACTCTGCAAATGGGTGAAATGACTGGCTATGGGACTTTCTAGAGACTAGCAATGCCTTCTGCATACAGATGTGGCTGGAGATATGGCATGTAGAAAACTTAAGAACCACAGAAGCAGGTAATTTCAAATATTATTTTCCCCCTCTGGTCTTTTGCTTCAGACCCAGAGGTCTCTTCCTTCCTGTTACATCTAAATATGGTGTGATTACAGCACAGTGCTCAACATAGAGAAAATGCTGCAGGACTTTGCAGGAGAAGAGGAACTGAGACTACTTTGAATAGACTATTGCAGTATTAACTGCTCCAACCAGATGGAAATTATACCCTTGACCTATTGCGTAAACGGCAGCTTAAGCCAATTAAGTTTGGTTTCTTCAAATTTGCCTTCTGCTTCCTGAGCCTTTCCCTCATGTGGCACATTATGATTTATATTTTACAAAAATAAAAGCTGTGATGAACAAGTGATCTGGGCAATGGTGGATCTCTGCAGAAGTGCCAAGTATGCAACAACGCAACCAGAAAAACCCAGCTTTATCCACCTGAACTAAGGCAGAAGAAGAAGAAGACTGGACTGATGGCAGAATTATGTTGAGCAAGCTTGTGAAAAATCCTGCACAGCTTTTTCTGGTTTTTCACCTTCTGAAGGGTGATTCCAATCTCTGCAAGTTCCCTACCTGGGATGCCAGGGGAGGGTGAGGAAGGGATGGAGTCCGTGACAGGAATGCTAGTGAACTAGTTCACGTGTTGTCTGAGGCTTGTAAAGAAATCGTGTTCATTCTCAGCTGTTTGGATTGCTGCCTGAAGGTATGGATGCATGTGGTCTTCAGAGCAGGCAATGTGCATAGATGCATAAAAACTGCTGGATTAAGACTGGACGAAGAAAAAAATTCTCCAGGTGGAAGCCGTGTGGTTTGTTTGCAGATTTGCTCTGTGTGTTTCTTCTTTGTAGGTGTGAATATTCACAGTTCTCTCCTGGCAAAAAAAGCATGTTTCATTTCTCCAACAAATTTGCCAACTGTATTTTTAGATTATTAATTTATTGTAATATTCCCAGCTCTGAGAAATCAGCATCTTGCTGAGAAACATCCTCTGTTCATACTTGACAGAGCAGCATGACCTCCAACCCAACAAGAATCCCAAACCCTCAGCTACTCCCCTCCCGTACACACACAAACATAATCTGATGTCTTTCACATTCTTGAGTGTTTGTGGCTGGCAGCACTGAAGGTCTCTGTTCCTTCAGGCAATGGGGCAATGTGGGCTGCTTTTGTGTACTCTTCCTTGCCCCCATTTTTCCAACAGGCTTTCCTACCGCTTCCTCCTTTCCTCTCACTTCTTCTGCATAAGATCTCTTTGCACAGACTCTCAGGCCCTATTTCTCCTTACCTTGATGGTTCATATACGACATACAATGCCCACTGTGTGCCCTGCTTGCATCTGGCTACCTACCTCACTGCAAAAACCAGCACCAGGCTCTCGGTGGCATTCGCTGTCCTCTGACTCAGATGATTTATTTCCCATCCTGCTCGCTGCCCTAGCATCTTAGTTTTTCATGTTCCTTACAACAGGGACTTGTGCCAAGCCAATGTTTATTGGGACCAAATAAGACTTAAAACTAGCTCATAAATGAAGCCTCCTTCTCCCACCCCTTGGCAGCCCTGCCCTCTTTGGCAACTGGGAAAAGCCTCTGCAACGTGTGGTATGCTGGGAACCTCCTGCAAGAACTCTCCCTGTAATCTCAGGCATCTATCTTTAGGGGATCCTGCCGCGTGAGGAGTTGAGGATGACTGCTGAGGGTTCATCCTCAACAGGAAAAAAAGGTGAGGGTGTTTCTGACTGTGTTAGCTTGCACGCGAGGTGAAATTCCAGCATAGACAAGGTCATCTGCAGTTCTTACACGTTCACGAGTTGAGATAAACTCTGCAAGAGAGCTGAGTGATGAGCAGTGAGCTGCTCTGGCTACCCAGGGCTGTTACTGACTGTGAGTGAGTGCAGGATTGAAAACCTTCCCTCTCTATTTTTCCCAAGGCAACACTCACCTTTAGCAGCGTACTGTGGCTGGCACAGAGGCTGGAGAAGGCAAAGCCAAGCCACTTCAAATAATCCCTACAAATATCCAGCCTGGTCTTTTTACATTTCTCTTCTGCCTCCACTGTCTGACCCTCGATGTTTAAAGCAAATTATCTCGCAATACAAAAAAAAAGGTGAGTAGAGCAGTTTGTGAGCACCTATGTTTTCTGATCTAAACTTCTGCCTGACTCTTATGAAGGAGAAGGGAAAGAAATTACCTGATATTTTTCAGGCTGGTTCAACTGTATCTTATGGCTAGATTTGTTTGGTTTTTGTTTTTTTTTTCCTCTTTCAGGTTTTACTTATCTGTAGACTTTTCCTGTTTAATAACCATCATGTGTGTTATTCTCCTTTCTCCAGCTCTGGTTGTTCCCGTGTTCCTGTTCCTTGTGGTTCATTCTTAAGCAGCTACTAAGTTTTCTTTGAAACCATTTCCTCTCACTGAACTCAAATATTTCCTGGTCTTTTCAGATAAAGGATTTAAACGATAGAGAGATATGTGGTCCCTGTAGCAGATGTGCTATGGGAGAAAACAGGTCCAGTTTTAAGATGTATCTGGAGCCAAACTGCATCACATCATTCCTCTGAATTTTCTAGGTTTGCAAAATGTAGTTCATCTCACACTGCAGTTTGCAAATACAGCATGAGAAAATAGCCACCGGTTTTTTTTTATGTAGTGAACCAAACGTTCTTGTTTTAACACTCATACTGTATCAAACTTTGGGGGCATCAGTACTTGGCCAGGTCTGAGCTTCGCAGCTCCCATTCATTTCTAATCTTTAACTCTGAAACTGTTCATCCTTTACCCTTGTGGTGAGACATGTCCTTTGAAAAGTTTATCCTCCTCATATGGAAAATGAACTCAGAGATCTCACTGCCTTTCTCTATCTTGGTCACTATGATCCCGTTCTTTTTGCTGCAGTTGATGCTTTGTGCCAGCTTGGCCTAAGTCTCCCCCACGGGGCTAAATTTCCTTC